TTGGTAGGAGCGCTCGGGGCCGTGACCCCTAAGCTGGGAGAGTGGCTCCAACAGATCCCAGGAACAACATCCGAGCTCTCTGTCCAGAAGAGTGCAGTGCTAGGAATGGCTAAGATCTTGCATAGGACCCTCAAACTCCCAGGCCTCTGGTAGAGGACCCGAGATTGAAGAAGGCATGTACTGCCCATAGCAGTAAGAAGGGAATTTTTAAAAAATGTATTATTATATAGGGTAGATGTATTCCAAGTGCAGGGTTTTAGCCCAGGCCTGCAAATCTTGCGTGCCACCATGTTGACCCTTAGCCCATTGCTTGACAATTTCATGTTTTAACCACTTGCTGGAGTGTCATTAATGATGATACACAGTGATGGGGATGATAATGACAGGAAGCTTACTGAAGCCTTGGTTGGTCACATAGTTGATGAGCTGTATCAGGCTCATGACTTGACCCAACTTGTTCAGGGTTTCCAGTACTTCTGAGTGATTCATTCAGATGCACTTGGCTTCATATAAAGGAAACAACGCTGAAATAAATCTCATTCCCCCCCCCCTTTTCTTTTTTAAATCCAGGGTGCATGGATAGATGTTAAGAAGTTGCTGCTCGTTGCCTTTTCCTTTGGTCTGCAAGTTGTCTTACTTAATTGCACTATGGAAATGCTGCTAAGGGACGAAATGGGGAGAAGCTACCGGGCAGGGCTGTAGTACCAAAAGCCCGCGACCCCACAGGTCTCTGGAAAGATTGAAGGGTTGGAACCTGAACTGGTTTCCTTTGTCGCCTTTTCATCTCAGAGGAAATGGCGAGTAAACGAAAATCCACCGTACCCTGCATGGTCCTGGCGAGAGAACTGGATCCAGATGTAGAAGCAGTATCAGATGCCGATGAAGTGTTGCCAGTGATCACATCTGCAGGAAGCGTGTCAAGTGATGAAGACTCTCGAGAATGTGTAGATTCCGACAGTCAGCAAAATAAAAAAGTTGAAGGCGGCTATGAATGCAAATACTGTACGTTTCAGACTCCTGATTTAAATATGTTTACTTTCCACGTGGATTCCGAGCACCCCAATGTTGTTTTAAGTTCATCTTATGTCTGCCTCGAATGCAAATTTGTTACCAAAAGGTATGATGCTCTTTCAGAACATAATACGAAGTACCATCCTGGAGAGGAAAACTTCAAACTGACCATGGTTAAACGCAACAACCAAACCATATTCGAGCAAACGGTGAACGATCTTACTTTTGATGGGAGTTTTGTCCAAGAGGAGAAAGCGGAAGAATTATTGGAGGGTTCTGAGACCCACTTGGGCGGCATCTCGATCAGCAAAACCCCCATTATGAAAATGATGAAAAATAAGAATGAAACAAAGCGGATTGTTGTTTTTCACAATGCGGCAGAAGATGGTCCTGCAGAAGAAAAAGATGCTGACCCCGACACAGAGTGTGAGGAAATAATAGAAAAAGCACTCCCTGCAGTTCCAGACACCAACCCAGCTAATCCATTAGCTGCAGAAGCAGTCAGCACGGCTGTGAACCCAGCAACGGTGATTCAGCCCGCTCAGGTGATCACCACCCTAGCATCTTCACCAACTTCTAATTTAATTTCTAAAGTCTTGATCCCTATTAATAGTATCCCGGCCTACAACACTGCTTTGGATAACAACCCTCTCTTGCAGAACACTTACAATAAATTTCCATACCCAACTGTCTCGGAAATCACACTCCTGGCTACTCAAGCTAAGTATACCGAGGAACAAATCAAAATCTGGTTCTCTGCCCAGCGTTTGAAACACGGGGTGAGCTGGACACCAGAAGAAGTGGAGGACGCCAGAAGGAAGCAGTTTAACGGCACGGTGCATACCGTTCCTCAGACAATTACAGTTATTCCAGCACATATTTCGGCGGCTAACAACGGTCTGCCTTCCATTTTGCAGACGTGCCAAATTGTGGGCCAGCCAGGCCTCGTTCTGACGCAAGTCGCGGGAACCAGCACTCTTCCAGTGACGGCCCCCATCGCGTTGACGATGGCAGGAGTTCCAAATCCAGCCCAGCTGCAGAAAGCCCAGGGCCAGACTACACAGCCTGTTCCCGAAACCAAACAAATAGCTGCTGTCCCCGCGCCCCAGCTTACGAAATCGGAGGTGGTGGCCGCTGCTGCCACCACCAACATGGACCCGGTTGCTGTCCGGGCAAAGAAGACAAAGGAGCAGCTGACGGAGTTAAAAGTCAGCTATCTTAAAAGTCACTTTCCTCTCGATTCGGAGATCATCAGGCTCATGGAAACAACCGGCTTGACGAAAGGGGAGATTAAAAAGTGGTTCAGCGATACCAGGTACAATCAGAGGAATTCAAAGCACAATTATTACAATCATCAGAACAGCGATTCCTGCACTATCGTTATTGACTCCAGCGACGAAACCAGTGAACCCCCCCCACTGGTCCAACCGCAGCAGAAGCAGCCCTGTGGCGCCTCTGATTTGAGCCCTCAGAAGTTCAAAGAGAAGACTGCGGAGCAACTTAAAGTCCTCCAGGACAGCTTCCACAACAATCCTTCCCTTTCTGAGGATGAACTGAATAGGATAAGTTTAGAAACAAAGCTGAGCAGAGAAGAAATAGATGCTTGGTTTGCAGAACAGAAGAAACCGAGTGTTTCCCCGGAAGAATGTGAGGAATTGAATGCAGGTCATTCTGAGAGTCAGAAGGAAATTGCTGCAGCAGAAACCTCTGGAGGTGAAGGCTCTGGAGCCCAGAAGGCAGGAAAGCAGACAAAAAAGTCACCAGAACAATTGCACATGCTCAAAATGTCATTCGTTCGAACTCAGTGGCCTTCTTCGGAGGAATATGATAAGTTGGCCAAAGAAACAGGCCTTCCTCGAACCGAGATTGTGAGTTGGTTCGGGGATACTCGTTATGCCTGGAAAAACGGTGGCTTGAAATGGTACTACTATTATCAAGGGAACAGTGCAAACAGTGTGAATGGTCAAGGCCATTCCAGACGGAGGGGGCGGGGAAGGCCCAAGGGGAGGGGAAGGGGGCGGCCACGCGGGCGGTTGATGTCCAACAAAAGGATCAAACCCTGGGACCGAACCCCAGTCATCAAGTTTAAAACTGGAAAAGCAATCCTCAAGGATTATTACCTGAAACACAAGTTTCTTAATGAGCAGGACCTTGACGAACTGGTTGCAAAATCGCACATGGGCTATGAGCAGGTCAGGGAATGGTTTGGGGACAGGCAGAGACGAGCTGAACTTGGCCTTGAGCTGTTTGATGAGGAAGAGGAAGAGGAGATGCTGGATGACCAGGAGGATGAAGAGGATGAGGAAGAAACAGATGACAGTGACAACTGGGAGCCGCCACGGCATGTTCGGCGTAGGTTGTCAAAATCAGACTGACCTGAATGTTCCTGGGATGGTCAGAACGTGACCTTGCTGTGTGGTTGACCTTGCCAAATGATTGGTGCTGACCCTCTCCTTCTAGCAGTTGTCTACTTTAAATTTGCTCCATCTTGAAGGCGGAATTGAGTGGTTGACCCATGCATCAAATGCACACTTGTTCCTTGTTGAGCAGAAATGGAAGAGCAAGTCTGGGACTTGGAACTACAGAGTCTTCAGAAATTTAGTTGTCCATACTCTGCTGATAGGGGCACATTGAAGGGACTATGTGCTCAATTGCCTTATGTTTGTTTCCAAATATCCTGTGAGGAAAGGAATGCGTTTTTTTTAGAAAATGATATTGTCTTTTCCAGAAGCAGAATTGTCCCAGAATGAAGAAAAGTGCTCACAGTGTCCCTGTTGCTAAGCTGCATGTCAGTTTTCTTTCCTCCAAACGTAAGAAAGGCTTCATAAGAAACTTCAGGTACCTGAAAAGATGTCCCACAGAAGGAATCAAGACTTGTTCTCTATCTTTCCAGCATGCAGGACGTTAAATAATGGATTTCAGTTACAGGAAGACAGGTTCTGGTGGAATGTTGAGGGATAAAAAAACGTTCCTAAAATAAGAGCGGTTCACCATTTATCCTGCAGGGTGATGGATTCTTTTAGTGGGGCATGTTGAGACTGAGACTAAACCACCATCTGTTGGAGATGCTCTAATTTGGATTCCTACCCTGAGAAGGTGGCTGGCCTCAGTGGCCCCTTTGGCTCTCTGAGTCTAGGAAAATAAGATGATTTGGGGAGAAAGGATACCAAAGGAGGGAAACAATGGAGGGGTGACAATTGCTTGAGGTGTTTGAGTTTTTTAAGGAAATTAGAGGAAAGGAATATCTTTGTTACATACAGAGCCTGTGTACTAGGTTTACAGAACTCATGTTGAATGTGTCTCTCTAGCTGTGTTCAGGGAATTTGGGTCTGAAGTATGTTTTTATATTAAAACTAATCCGTGTATATCATATTTAAATACTAGATACAATTAATGCAGCCAATACCAAACACTTGGTTTTGATTGTGCAGTTATTTTTCCTTCCAAGCTATCAACAAAGTAAAGAATCGTTTTCAGAGAAAAAACCCACGTTTTCCCGAAAGTTCTGCACGACAGTTTCTTTAATGAAAGGAGCAAGGCTGAGAGGCTTTGTTGAAAGCAGGAGTCACTAACTGCCCTCTTCCACCTCCATGTATCAAGACTCTTTGGACAACTGGTCCTCATAGGCAATAGAAGGGGGATCTGGCGCCCTCCTAAGAGGAGAGGAATGCCCACCTGATGGAGGCGCAGATACTGCCCAAGCGGAAAACAACCCATAAACCACAGGTTCCTACATAGCCATTTCCAGCTGGGCATCTCAATTTCCTGTTCAGAAGGTTAACGCAGCTGAGATTTCTTAGAATTTCTCCCTGCCACAAGAAGATTGGAAGGTGCTAAATGCAGGGTTAGGACTGAACCAGGTTAGCAAGCTGACCATCGGCAGTGATTCTCTGATCTCGGCAGGTCAAGATTATTAACAGGCTGGCAAGGAGGCCCCTGCCTGGCTGGGCCCTTGGTTCCAAAACCGTGTTTTCAGAAATGGCCATAATCCTACAAAATCTTGTATCTGAGTGCAACATCTTGCAAGATTGCATGGAGTTCTCCTGCTGTTTTTGCAATCTCATGCAAGATCTCACCCCAAAATGGCTGGGCCCTACCCTCAGGGGCACCTGCAGCGGGTGGGGGGGAAGTGGGGGCAGACTGACAAAAGCAGGCTTAAGGCATTGCAACACAAGCCCCGCCCCTTTTCTTTGTGTGGCACAACCTGCAAAAGGGAAGGAGTTTGCAGCGTGACGTGTCCGCACTGCTTTGGTCATCCCGATTAAAACTGTAAGAACCTGCAATTATTGCTGCCTAACTTATGACGGGGTTTGGTCATAATGTAAGACTCAAGCAATTCAGCTGGCTTTACTAGGTCTGGACTTGCCGATTCAGGGACAGCAGTCATGCTGACAAGAGCAAAGGAAAGGAAAATTGGTCCTTTCAAGTAACCTAATGCCAGAAGCCTGTAATAAATGATAGCCTCTCTCACTGGCTGTACTCGTAACTAAAGGTTGCAGTTAGAGTTTCTGCGGGTCATGCTTCCAAGCCATGAAGGGTGGGAATCCACAGCTGAGTCCAAGCGCGCACCTAGCAGAGATCTCCAGTCAGCCATGCAGCCTGGGAACTTGAGATTTACAACACACATTGACCAGTGGGAAGTAAAAAACAGCAGTGGATTTCTATAAGAGATTTTTGACACAGATCTAGCATGGGAAAACTTAAAATACAGTAGTGACATTTCCTGCTGTTCTGGCTTTCGTGTATTGCTAAATCGTTCACGTAGTTCATGTCATTCACTATTGCTTAACCCACCTTCCTTTGCAGTTATTAGCCCGTGAATTAATTTCTGCAACTAGTTTAACAGGCCTTTATCATGTTAAGGTAGTTAAGTTATAACTGTATTTATGCAATACAGTTGCACATACTCCCCTTTTGGGATTGTTTTTAACTGAAGCTTTTCCCCCCGATGTGTTTTAATCTAATGGGAAAATTCATTTTAGGGGATTCAGTATGAATATTGACAGCTATGTCTTCCCCAAATTTTGGAAGGGTCAACTTCAAAACAGTGTCTTTATGTTTGATAGATTAACATCAGCAGATTTCAAACACACTTGGAGGTCCTGATTCCTAACCCTTGAGTAACTTGCTAGCAGGATTCAGGCTCTATGTGGAAGTGAGAAACTTAGCTTCCCACCCCCCCCCCTTCAAGGGTCATATTCCCTTACGGAGTAATCTATATGGGAGCCCATAGGGTGGGTGAGGCTTAAGCAACAAGTAGGCGAAAAGTGGGCAGAGACATCCATTCTGTAATAGCTTGTTTTTATTCCCAAGCTGCAGAGAAGGAATAGATAGCTCTCATCAGAGATCAGAACTCATGTCTTGCAAAAATAAAGGTGGGATAAGATCTGTCCCCTCCCAATGCTGCACTCATCACCGTGGTAACGGAGTCCATCCCCCTTGCTGTTGGTCATCCTCTTCTTCTCTTTCCTTCCACCTTTCCCAGCATTAGAGCCTTCTCCAGAGAGCTAGATCTTTGTATAAAATGTCTGAAGTAGGATAATTTGAGCCTGGTCATTTGTGCCTCGAGGGAGAACTCTGGGTTGATTTGTCCGATGATCCATTGGATGATATAATAATAAAAAAGCAAAGATAGTACCAATAGTAATAGGTGCCTTGGGTACAATCCCAAAACATCTGGAGCTGAACACCATCAGCATTGACAAAATCACCATTAGTCAATTGCAAAAGGCAGCTTGACTTGGAACAGTTTATATCCTGCAACGATACCTTTAACACTATCAAATCAACATCTGCCTATCCCAGGTCCTTGGGAAGGACACGATAGGTGGATAAAACTGAAATCCAGTCTAAATATCTGGATGACTGTGCGACCAACCATAATAAGGTTTTGGTTTGGTTCTGCAATGACTGAACTGGAAGGCCAACATTATTCTGTAACTATACCTTTGAAAAGTATACCTTTTTAAAATGTATTTATGTTTATTAAGAATTTTACATTAAAGAAAAATCTAAAGAAAAAGAAAGAAAAGCAAGAAAAAAGGTGCAAGAAAAGAAACTAAAGTTATGAAATGTAATGACTTCCAACCTTCTCTACAACAGATAATTACAATCTTATAATCTTTCCTCCCTCTTAGATGTTATACAAATCCCTTCAGCCCCTCACTTAGTCCACATCTTTTTAAATCCTCGAATCATGAATCCATTTTTTCTTGTTTCAGCAAACAGTCCATATAAGGTTTCTAGTCTTTCAAAAAAGTTTTTGTTTTTTTCTCTGACCAAACAGATCAGCGTTGCCATCTCAGCAAATTCTGACATTTTCACAATCCACTCCTCCACTGTGGGGATTTCATTGTTCTTCCATTTTTGAGAAAATTATACCTTGTAGCGATGCCAAAGAATAAACTATGTATGTTGAGCTGTCCTCCTTCAGGGTTGGGAACAATTTGGCCACAAAGCAGTTGTGGTGTCCCCCCAGCTCACCTACCTTAAAAGATTCTTTTAATTAAAAAATATATAAGCGTATCACCTTTCCTCTCCCATTTTATTTGCAGCAAATTGACCATAGGGCCCTTCAATGTTCTCATTGAGATGGGGGTGAGCAATTGGGGGACTTGCTGGCTTTTCAGTCAGTTTTGTGCCTTGTCATGCCTCCAACAGCAGCCATTCCTTTAAATAAACAAGTCTTCCATGACCACCATTTTTAGAAGCATGTTCATCATACGCTCTCAAAATTCCACTCAAAAAGATTGCCTGCCAGACACAAAATGTTATGGATTCTGATTCTAAAAGGAAGTCAAAATTGGTTGGTAAAAGAAGAATGTCTTGGAACATGGACTTTAATCGACCTCTAACATAGAAAGTCTAAGGTAGGCCAGTCAATAAACATTTTAGTTAAATGAGGACCCATGTTAATTGGTCATGGTTAAGACAGCCACTTGTCTTTGACGTTGTCTTGGCTCTATCATGTGATTCAAGTTATTCTTCTAGGGGTGCCATTGTAACAATGATCGATAACTTGTTAAGGGCCCTTTCTCACAGCCAAGGGCTATCCACCAGTCCTTAAACCAGCAAAAAACTATACTTTCACAAAATTTGCTATCCTCCCCCTGCATCCCTATACAAATAGTGCTGCCCATATGTGTGGTATAAGGATGGTTTAAGGATGGGGATTGTTGAATTTCCCCAGCTTTGTTTTCCTTCCTTCTGATCAAGTATCACCAGCTGGTGAGAAAACATCCACCGATCATACTTGGGTATTAATATGGATTGAAGTTGGGGCTGCGAAGGAGGCAGGTTTTGACAAATGGCTAGATCAGCAGGTTGGGCCAACTGTCAAAACTCATTCTGTTTTCATGCAAGTGTTTTGTTTGGCTGTATCCAAACAGAGTCTGACTCTTGATTGTTGGGACTCTTTTGGACACGGGTCTAGCCCTATTCCAGAAGAGCAGTAAACCTGTGTTCAAAAGCAGTCTGAGTCTGAGTTAACAGAGAACTGGCATGGTGAAGCAGCCCCTGCCATCTCTGTTGCCCTGTTCAAATTTCTGAGCTGAGGATTGGTCAGAGATTTGTCAGGTGCAGGGAGAGAGTCCAGTTTGAAATCACCAGAGTCTTCTGCTGCAGAAAATGGAGTAGATTTGGAAGTCCAAGGACTTGTCAGCCTTGCTAGATGGACCAGACAGGAAACACGGCCAGATGAGTTAATTCTACTTTATTGTAAGGTTACATTAACAAAATGTTGCAAGTCTGAAACTACATGTCTCCCCCCGTCCCCTTTACAGCCCAAGAAACTAGGGAGGGTCAGCCGCCTTTTATCTGACCGTTCCCTTGGCTGCATCTCCTTGCTGTCTCCCAAGGTCATTCCCACATACCATTACAATGCTGGTGAAGCCTGCCAGATGGTATCCATGGTAAATCCTATGTTGGGATAAGGGTTATACTACTTGAACAACTATGACACTGAGTATGAGTTAAGGTTGTTTAGGTACATGATGGAGATCTGAAGAAAGATCCTTGTACTGAGGCCTTGGAAAATTGCATATTTATTTGAAATGTAACTGGTCACTTAAAGAGCATGAGTGATTTAGAATCCTTTCATTGGGTGATGGCCATGGTATGGACAACTTTTAAGACATTTTCATGTTAATTTAAAAACAGTGTAAAATTTAATAATTCCAAGCTGAAGGACAAGCCAACTTTTGGATCACGCAGATTAAAAATATCTAGAGAAGCCATCCGCCTCTCTTGTAAACCCCTTATTCATTCACAAGAAGTGAGAAGCGTTTGATGATTAATGGGGATTTCATATAAAACTTGGCTTTAGAACGAACTCTTCTGCCTGAAGAATATTTCATTTTCTTTGCTTTCAAGACTGTTCTGCAATAAAAGATCTTCTCTTTTCAGAGTGATGAAAGATTTTGGTTCCTTTAAAAATGGCTTTCTTCCCAACTTTGGGGAGGAAAACTCCACAAAAACTGTAATTACACAAATAAATAAGTAAATGAATAAAAAATAAAAATGGGCCTGTTTTCTTGTAAAATCAAGGGAAAAAATACATATCTAATGCTTTTTGGTAAGATTGCCAATCAATGTGGGTACATTTTGACTATGTCCAAAGCCCAGTAAAGCTTTGATCCCAAGCTCACTCGCTTTATTCTATGCAACCTAGGTGGTTTAATCTGATCTAATCTGAAAGACTATCTTGCAAGCCAACATACTTTGCTTATATCTCATGACTAGCAGATATGATGCAGTGTACTGACTTACTTGGGATTGACATACTTAGCTAATGCCAGTGATTTTTAACAAGCTGAATTTCTTGACACATTAAAAAAAAAATGAGATAG